GACGGCGGATCGATCTTTCGTCGAGTCCTTTATCTTCTGGACTGGAGATGAGATATGCCCGGAAAATGGCCGAACGTGTCTCGAATCGTTAACAGGGAAACAAACGAGCTTTACGATAAACGACGATAACCAACGACACGCATGTACCAGCTTACGTGCTTTGCCAGGATAAAGGCGACATTATGAAATATTTAATACTGCCCTTCGCTCGACGCGAAATATTTAACGAGACCATTTTGAATACCAACCTGTTCCCGACGATCGTGATCATTTTTCGAACGACTTCGAAATCGAAATGTACTTTGAGCATAATGTAAACATAGAGGAAACGCGATGCGACGCGATAAAATATTGAATGGGCTTGTGCAACGGGGCGTAATATTTCCGGAGTGTGTTTGACATTTTTTTTTTTTTTTCACAGATATTCGAGGGGTTTCAGATCGTGGATTTCTTTTCGAACGGTTTCAAATTCTTTTTAGAAAAGCGGCTCTTTACGGGGAAATATAGGTGGAAATATGTTACGACATTGACTGTGAGATTTAACAAAGCATAAATGCTGCGAGCGTCTTTTAAAATGTTTTCGTATTTTCTCATTCGATCCGATTAGATTTATTCTTCGATACAAAAATATATAGATATACATACCTCGTTTGCAAACACCACTGTACACCGTAGTAAAGAAGCTAGATATCAGTTGTATAGTTTTTATTAATGTCACGATGCTTCCTTAAGAATCAACGAAAGGTATAAAGATAACGAAGAGACGCGCTTAACGAAGTTATTCGTAAATTTCAGGTTTTTATAGGTCGCAGAAAGCGCTTAAGGGAAACGGTCGTTATCTCGGCAAAGTTTTAACGTGAGAGTGAACAGAATCGTGTATTCTGAACGGGAAGCCTCGAGCAAGAGACAGTCGGCTATGAAAACGCTGCCGTGTGAAGCTGCATAAAGCATTTGCCTTTCAGAGGAGAAGTCTGCCGTTGGAATTCGCGTAATAGTCGTGCCGTGAGTCTCTTCAGGAAGAAGATCAAGAGGGACGGTGGTAAGGAAAAAAGAAGCATCAGGCAAGAAAGCAAATAGAAGTGAGTATACACATCTATCTATACATATGTATATGTATACGTATATGTGTATATAAAGATACAAGAAATTTTTCGTATTTTTCTAAGAGCATCGTATCTTAAGAGGATGGCGGTCCAAACTGAATAGCAGCAGTTTCGAGGGATTTAATCCTGGCAAGGAAACAATAACAGCTCGCGACTGGACCAGAGGACAAATAAGACAATTTGCCGGTACATGCATAATGCATGCCCAAGATCGTAACGGCCCGTCTAGCGACTCCTTGTCTATAATGGAATCTGTGCCATTCACTCGAATTCGGCTTGAGCATAAAGTGAAGAAGTCCCGGGTAACGTCTAACAAGGCAGGGCATTCAATTACACCGGTACCAACCCCCCTCGCCCCTGCCGCCGTCAGAGCCCAACTGGGTGCCCTAACTCCCTCCCACCTTCACGCTAGGGAGTAATCCATCCAACCTTCCTATGTTTCCTAATGCTATCTTATTCACTCAGTCACTTTTGATCTCGCCTTCTCTTTCTCTCCTTCTTTTCCTTCCTTACTCTTCTCTTTCTCTGTACGAACGCTTCCTCCTCGCACTTGTATAAGACCAGCTGCACCGAGCTGCGCGTTCTTGGCGGCGGCTTCCCGATCTGCGGTCTTCGTAGTAGCCGGTAGGAGGAAACAGTGATGTAGCAAGAGGGTTGCTGGCCCTTCAGAAGCATGCTCCTCCAACCACTATTAACCATCTCCAGTAACAGGAGATTGTGATATACTTTCGGTTAATGAAAAATGGTCTATGGTAATGTGGCTTTTAATATTGTATATTAACATACAATATTATATATCAGCACTACTTTGAGATATTGTAACGGTAGCTGTGGTATAATATGATACATTTCAGAAGGACATGTAGGATTTAATAGTTGTTGTTAATATGTATGATCATTTTTATATTTTTTCATAGAAAGATTTTATTATGTATTAGGAATGTATGTCGATATATATATATATATATATATATTGGAATTTTTTCGCACATAAATTAAAGTGTTTGCTACATTTTCTGGGGTGAATTTTGTTTAAGGCGTGTTAATTAAAAGTACCGTGGGAAATTTTATTGAGCCACAATTGCCTTATGTGGCTTTACTTATCTGGGATATAAGTTAGTGTATCGAATTTGGGGAATGAGAGTGACAGGGACATAGCATAAACAGTATTAATAAGGTAGAAATATGATAGGCTTTCTCAGCATTCCTTAAGTAGCTCCAGACCAGGGGTAAGGCTTGATCCTAAAGTAGATTCTTAGTACAGCACTGGGCAGCCCTAAACTAAAGCGAAGACGGGCCAAACTTATCCCCAACTTGGCTAACCACCGAACGACCGAGGCAGTAGGCACCCCTTTTAGCGATGGGTTGAAACGACTCGCGAAACCAGCTTCGATTATCCGGGATTCTCCGTTTCCTGGAATCAAGCCAGGATTATAGTGGCAGAATCCTCAAGAGCGATCTCGAGTGGCTGCTAAGCTCAGCGGCCGATATCTTCAAGAGGCCATTCCGAGTTTTCGTGTTTGCATCGCCCGATCTCGGAATTGAGTTTATTTAGGGCTTCGTAGAATTTCACATGTGACTCTAAGAGCGACTAAACGAGCCTACAAATGACGGATATCCTTCACTTGGTTGAATCAATTTGATTTTTTTATCTCACGCAACCTCAACTCAATTTGCGGCAAATACAAATTGATCTAAAGAGAAAAGGATTTGAGAACAAGTTATTTAGCGATGAAATCAAATTTCTTATGTTGTTATACATATAATGATTTTCGTTAAATTTTATTTTTAGATACATTCTCAATATCAACAATAAACACTGTATATATATTTTTTCAATTAAATTCCATGGCACGCAATTGTTTTTAGTTGGCAAACACAAAAAATACAAAAATAATCAATATTTATCCAAATTTAATAGTGGTAGACTGAGTGTCTGAAACTGTGGCATGTCATTGAAAAAAATTATTGCCATTAGACATCAAACGTAAAAATTGTCTACGAGAATAATTGAAACGTAAGAAAAAAATAAAAAAAATATTTTACTCAATTTTAGCATTTTTATATTAAACTCCTATCGCTAAATAAATTTATTCGTATTTTTAAACGGTTCGCATAAGTCTCTGCCGATTCCAACTAACTCAAGATAACTTTTACGACTGGCGCCTATTCCTCCACGTCTGAGGTTACTCATTACATCCATTTACATGGCCGCACGCCCTGATATATTAGCCCACTTAACCGTGAAATATATCCCGATGAATCGGCAAACCGAATTAACCCTGCTGCGAACCCCTATGAGATCGAATCTCGTCTGACTTCAGACCAATTCCTTCCGACGATTACTTTTAACAATACAGCTATTTTGTCTGTGCCATTAATACACCCTATAATCAATACAAACTTACTTGATGCCTGTGGATATCAAAAGTAATTGATCATCTGAAAAGATCAATTTATTACCTCATAAGTTAAGATACGTCACAGCGAACGAGAACACGATATTCGTATCCACGTACATTAGAGTGCAGTGAAAATTAATAAAAAAAAATAATATCAATAATTTGCACAAATCATTGTACAATAAAAAATTCGTTTGCGTCCAAGGGTTGTTTCGTTTCGTCACTATCGGATTGTTAGATTCAAAGGCAGGTTGGATGCAGAGTAAAAAGCGGAGATCGGGCGAACGAATAATTTTTCCAGCTACCTGTATACCTTTCCACCGAAATCTGAGGTTACTCATTAAGGCGATTTACATAGGCGCGACGGGAGGCTAATATATTATACTGGTGCAGCTTGAAATATCTGCCGATGAGCTGGCAGCTGAATTAACTATTTCTCAGGATTTTTATGTCTCACCCTTATCCACTAAGGATCCTTTATCCGTTTCCATTTCCTTTAACTTTTATAACGTCCTTTGCGGACACGCCTTTTTATTATATTCCTACGGCATATCTTTTCTTCAGCTTCGCTTCGCTTCCATCGGTACACTTCATCAAGGGCAATGACTTTTTGAACATAAAACATTTTATTCCACTGACGATTGAAGTCTTATAATTTTTTCCCATAAATTGTTCGTTCTGGTCAAGATATTTAAATATTCCCCAACATTTTACGTACATTTTTACTTGCGATTCTGTGAATCATTTCTGTTATTTTTTTTATAGTCACACACTCTTGCTGCTACGTGCTTATAGATTAATTTAGTTTTAACTGGATGAGAGTGATTACAGAGATTTTTATATTTCATAAAAATCACCTGACTGTATTGACAGCGTGCAAAGACCAAACCGTATTTGTTCAGATTTCAGAATATACTTGAATATTCTATTAAAATTCACAGTCCCTGAGTACAATAGATTTTCATACCCGGAAACAGGATGTACAAGGGATTGAAAATGTGCCTGAAATCTGACGACCGGTCATGTACAAGAGTTCTTCGTATATTAACAGTTTCGATTTATAATATACAAGGTGACATAAAAGTGCAAGCAACTTCTGCGCCGCGAATTTATTCCTTCGCAAATTTATAATTAATATTAGGACACCCTGTAGTTTCATTATTCATTGTACGACTACGGGGATGATCCTCAGTGGATCTCGCCGAGGTTATGCTTTACGATTCCCGTTCTATTAAAGAGAGTCATAGATGGAATAAGTGATTGGAGGATAATTCAAAGACACCCAGTATGCATTAAAGTGTATGCGCTTTCCGTCAGTATTTAAATAACTCGAGCTAGTATTGGAAACGAGTAAAAATGCAAAAGCTGCACGTAAGTAGGATATTAAACTATTACGATTTTATGATCGCCGGGTATATCTCACGTTCCAGCCGGTAATATAGAAACTTATGGCTCGCTGCCTAATTCCAGGCAAATTTCATCCCCTTTCACTTACCCTATCCCATCACCTGCTTCCGGGGGAGGCTATTGTGCCCATGTTCCTGAAATTTCAGTTAATGACTATTAGAAATGATCACGTATAAAGAAGGTTTGTTATTTTTTATACTTGATAATTCTCATTCATCCACTTACTACAAAGCACAGAATTTTCAAGTTCCGTAAGAAAAAAAATGCCACCATTTCTTTTGCACTTGTAATCCCATACTTTGAGGGTGAAAAATAGGATATAGAGAATGATTTTTGTTTGATAAGTACGTTTTTATATTAAATTAATTTTTTAATTAAATTCTATATGAAAATCGTATACGCGGATCATATCTTTACTCAGATTATAAGATTCATTTGTTAGTTACACTGATATATCAGATATACGTACAGTAAATAAGCTTATAGTGCTCTTAAACAGACGTACAATATATTTTAATTTTCTATATTCTATTTGACGATATTTTATCAGTTTATCTCTTTCAACCTACTTGAACCTAACTTAACCTCTTATCTATGTCTAGGAGTGTAATACATGTATTTAGCAGAAAGATGTATGTGTGCATTGGTCGATCTAATCTGAGGAGAGTATTAAATGAAATTGCATGTAAATAAGGCGTATATTTTTTTTCGAAATTGGATCTCTATACAAATAAACCTAATTTAAATGTAAAATTCGATACGGTTTCGTTTGATTGGATGGCATTGAGCTTGACGATGCAGAAACATTCAAGATTAACGAATAGACCTTTCCGAGTCGTCGTTTTCTCAAAAAGCCAATCCTCTTTCCTCATACGTGAATTCTCTGGTAAAACATACCTACAAAAATATAATCCCTTTGAGGATGACACTAGAGAATGTATATGTTTCTTTATAAAATTCAGAAATACGACTACCGAGCCAAATTGAAAGTACAGGAGAAAATGATGTTTCGAAATGAAATAAAATATAAAATAAATATGACGTCACAAAGAATACCAAAAAACAGATATAACCAATATAACTTAGCATATCAGAAAATAATAAAATATACTATAAAATTTCTTAATTAAAATAATTAAAATTAAACACGCGGTTCAATGACCAAAAAAAGTTACCAGTGTGTACACAAGCGTGTTATGCTTATTAAAATACAATAAATAGAATATGTTCATATATGGAATTATACAAAATTTTGTGCATCCTTCAATCAAATATATTGAGATATAATAAATAATGGGTTAGATAAATAACAAAGCATTTATTTTGACAATCATATAACTCAGTATACTATATCGGAAATATATATTATCCTGCTGTAAATCATCGTAAGTAATACATTCCCACGGCAAAATAAATTCTTCGGTAGAAAAGTGTAGTCGTGTATGGCATTTTTGCTAATCAAATGTATAGCCATGTTAAGAGCCATAGTAGTACAGTAAAAGCCTCCCATCAATCCAAGAGTTTATCTCAGTAGTCGGGTATACTAGCCACTTCACTTAACAACCGTCCGTAATTCCTTCCATCTCACAATACTGCCGAACCTAATACCTTGTCAGCGACTTATGTGTACGTTGTCACAAAAGATTGGAGTTCCTTGCCAATTTTCATATCTATATAGACTCGTCCCAAGAATTCTCTTAAGAAAATTGTCATTGTTTCACGAAAACTATAAGCACGATCTCGATCGTGGCAATGGGATTCACAGTCAAGAAAAATCGAGCAAATGAAAAGCAGAAGGATGTTTAATTTGCAAAGTAAAAATTTATTGATAATCATAGCATCGGAAATACAGAAACTTTTACGTGAACTATAATATGAGTTACGGTAACAGTTGTGTATATTCATTAATCCTATGCAATCCAGATTTATATAATTTCCACATACTATATGTGGTGTCTTAGAGGGGAGAGTCGAAAGAGAAGGAAAAATATACTATATGTATATATGTATACACGGACCAACGGAATGCGACCAAGTTTCCCGAGGCTGGTATCTCGGAACTGGCGAATGTTCATTTTCTCGCAAATGTCGAAATCGTTTCTAAAGACCCCGGCCATCCTTAGCCCGGAGGGTACTCCTGGAAAGACTAATGAAATTATCTTGAATTCGACCCCCGATACGATAGAGTAGTCTTTTTCCTTTCAAAGATATTGTACCTCGAAGAATAGCGTTATTAGGCACGAGCACATAGAACACGTGGGAGTGATTTATCCATTAGCCATTGCAAGAAAGGAGTGTGGGTGTGGGCGTGGATGCGCGTGTGTAAAGCCGAAAATATCTGTATCCAAAATTTCAGACGAACCGATAAATACTGATGGACTTTAAAAATCCATGGGAAATTAATTTCCGGACGAATAGAGGTCTTTAGGAAAAATAATGAGCGTGTAGATGGAGCAGTAACATTTATAAATCTCGAGCGCTTCCGGTATGAAAATTCCGCTTAGAGGAAATTATCTCATTTTTCAACGGCGTAAGATGCGACCGCATGGTTCATGCGGTTGTGCCTCATTACAAATATGTTTGCTCATAATTTTTTGTCCACCGATTTTATACATAATAATAATTTCCTTGGAAAAGTCAATATAACTTTATAGCGACATCTATACCTGTAGGTAAATTTCCCATTGCCAATTGTTTTTTGCCAAGGGTGACGTGTGTTGAATTTATAAAAAACCATTCATTACCTTTACCCAAATCCCACGAGCAATCGGGAATTTCCCTATGGGTAAATACGGCCTGAATGATTACACAAAAAACCAAATTCAAAATTCGTCTCTTCCACGCGGCATTTAAAACAATTGGTCCAAAGGCAATCAAACGGAATAAAAAAGGTTTCGCTCCATGCTCGTTGCTGCGAAATAACGTGTATTTCGAGTGTACTTTGTATTCGTACTAGCGTAATATTGGTATGCGTGAGAAATAAATTTTCGTCGGTTGGCATTCGGTTGACGCGCTAAAGTGTTATAACGTATCGCAAACGGACCACTGCGCCGCATGATTATATGCACAGTGCCAACATGAGAACTTAAAAGCACCTATAGGCTATTAGAATTATACTTTTCATAAGAGTTCCCCTATAGGTCGTAAGGTCGTGCGAAATCGGTACGATTAATCGCGAGCCGACCAAACGGAGCGTGACTTGGGTTTGCTCTTATAAAAAAGACAAATCTTCACGAGTAACCAGACTAGAAGAGAACGACTAGAAATAAGAAAAGGAGTAAAAAAACGAAAAATGAGAAAAAACCGTCAAGTAAGAAACCGTCTGGATGCACGATCTCTTCGGAAAATTATATAGGGGGGAACGGAGGGCCAGGAGAGGGGGTGAGTATTTTGTGGGGGCGCCGCGTAACATGCGATATTGCGATCCCTCAGCAAAAAATTTTCGTTTCGGTTTCATGACAGCCTCGTGCTTTTGTTCCCCTAAGCAAGTAATCGTTCCCACGCTATTATTACCTATACTCAATTTCTACTTTTTATTTTCCTAACCCTTGATCAAGAGGTTTGGCTAAATTCTTCGCGCCGACCGCGTAAACTCAATATTACAGGTTACCGATGTATACGGATTTACAAAAAAAATTTTCGAGAAATTATATTTTCAAAAATCGAGATTTTCAAAATTTTTCATGGAGACACGGATGAGAGTTAACGTACAGTAGTACGTTGTGTCGCTGAAGGGGATGATCGATTCCCCCTTGAAAAGAATCATTGTTCTACGAGGTAATTGTCTGGTGATTTTATACAGGACATGAAGATTGAACGACATTTTCAAATAATCTGTACATTCCTGTCAACAAACTGATGCTTCCTGATGCCATAACGTTTTGGGATCAAGTTTCACGGACATCGAATGGGTTAAGAATCGAAGTTCTACTGCGTATTATGTTTCGTAGTTTCCCAGTACATAATTCAGACTGAAAGTACTACCTAGTTTTGTAAAATTGTGATTTTCTGAATTATCTAACTACGAAAACAATTATTATTAAGAAAATTTGAATTAGCCTTCTTCGTATATTTCGAGACGCTTTACCATCTTTAGACCTAAATTTTGCCAAGTTAACACACTCAATCTCACCCCTATTCAAGCACGTTTGTTTATTTTGACAACTCACAATGTTTCATCCGATTAAAACGAAACTTTATGCTATGATTGCACTGGTCCTGTGACAGAATACAATTAACCGTACCGTATTGTACTATTCATTTGAATAATATAAGGAAGTGCAACAACTTCATTGCATCCGTACGTATAATAAATCGAGAATCGTGTAGTACGAGTGTCCTAAGTTCTAAAAACGTCATCATAATACGAATTCCAAATGCAGTATTGGAATAGTGAATTCGTTTTTCGAAGTTACCACGAATCTTAATAAGTACACGCATAAGCGTGAATCATATGATCAAAAAGTTTCGCACTTTCGAAAGATTCGAAATCATTAAACTTTGAAGCTTTTAAAGACTTCAAACAATCTGAAGGATTTCTGAGTCTGGCGTATAGACGAGCTACAACTAATCTAAATTCTAATCAAGAAAATTCCTAGAGAATCCCACAGCATCCAAATTTGCAGGCTACACGCGTGAATTATAGCGTCTCTTAATAATGGAAACTTGAAAGCGAGGTAAAGAGTAAGGACAAGGGAAAGATGACGTTCCCTGAAATTTCCATGAGTTCTGAACAATACGCGGAAAACAAGGAAGGCGAAACTAGACAAGATGAGATGATAGAAGATGAGGGACGCGCAGAGCGAGAGGGATTCGCGAGACAAGAGAGCAAAGACATGGAAGTAAAGGTGTAGGGTGAAGAGGAGTAAAGAACGAAAAGAGAAAGAATGGTCCGTACTGGAAACGAAACGAAACGAAAGGAAACGAAAAGAAACGAAGCGAGACGAAACGCGGCCATACGCGGTAGTCGATAAACCGCGCCTGCGTACTATTCTCTATATAGTTAGACCCCTTCGAAGAACCCCTCCCATCCGTTTGGGGTTGCTCTCGTTGCTTTACCACGCGTGCTTCTCCTACGAATTCGCCAGGGTGTGGATTAAAGGTATTAGCCTCGTTAAAGCCGACGGAGATGTCC